TTTTGAAGGTATAAATTTTCGAAAAATGTAATTAAAAAATTCGATTTTTTTTTATTTTCACTCTAGTAAGGCCCCTTAATTAGTCGTATTCCGTCTAAGACAATTCATAGGCAAAATAGATATATGTATTTTACATTCCTCAGCAATTGCGTCTATTTATGTCTGATTCATTAATCGAACGTTATATTCACCTCATAACCAGTAGAGAGCCACAGGTAGATCGAGTTCGTCTATGTGAATCACAGTTTATCGTTTCACCTCTTCCCGAAACACCGTGCCAAAATTCTTCGACACGCTTTGAAAGATAAATGACAAGTGCAACGCTGTTTTCAACGACTTGTCCCTCGCACCGTGGAATGGAAATTCCCAACAATTAATTTTCGTATTTAGCCGTTTGAAAATATTCAGATAGACAGGGAAGTATAATGTTAATAACGTTCCTTCTTTTTATGTCTCGCCCGCGTGCAATTGATTAGTTTGTTGAATGCTTTAATTGGCCCCAAGTGCCGCGAGTAGTGCAAGGACACGTAGAGCCTCCTCGTTTAACTCTGCGAAGGAGCATATTTTTCTAGTCGAAAGTAGACACACACGGCTAGTCGTTTATTCCTTTATCACTGCTATCAGTGCGACAAAGGAATATCAAAAGCGGTATGCACAATAATATAATCGTGCGATTAGGCCGCACTTATCGCGGAACGCAAACGAAATGAAATCGCTGTTTGGCAAATTCATTGCTCAATGCATCGTTGTTGACATTGTATGTTGACATCGCCGTTAATTCGCCCAGTATTCGACTTTAATTCTTTATAAAAAATTCATCAAAAACTGGTTGCAATAATTAAATAATAGAATGAGACGCAGTTTCTAAACTATTATTAACGATCCTCAGTCTAGTTATAGTAACTAAGATTCTTAGTTCAGTCGTAATGTTAGAGATTTTTATTCGGGTTCGTTTTTTTTTGTATCGTGCGTCGTAAGAGGTAGTGGGAACCGAGATTCTCCACTATCGATAAAACGCCTTGCGTTTATCGTAATGTAATCAAATGAAATTTACGACGGTCAGTTGTACCACTAAATCAATTTAAGTGTTACGTCACACGCACGTGGCTACGATCGTCACCCATCACGCTCTTCCATCAAAAACGTTCTCCTTGAAAAATGTTGAGCATTTTATTCTCAACTCAATATATTCTTAAGAGTTGATGACGCGGCAAAAGTGGTTTATCGAAATCTTTTCTCGGGACTAACATCGGTATAAACTCGCGGAACAATCATGTACACGCGATTCCGGCACGACTGTGTACACGACTTTAAAGATCCCACGTCGGATATATAAATGTCGCACGATCCGGCACACGATGCTCTTAGGCAATCTCTGGTGCCGCGGATCGCACGCGTTCCAGTCGATCGTCGTGTGCATCGACACGCGCGTCGTCGTTCATTCATTTCCGGAGGCTGTTCCGTCGAGGCGGGGGAGGATGACTACCAGAAATTTGGAAAAGATGCTCAGACTCACCACGCTGTCGAGGGTCCGTTTACGGTATTGAATAATAAACCGTTTCAAATTGACGAGATTAGATTTCGCGTAGTACTAGTTCAAGCGATTTATGTGAGAGTTTATTAAGGAGGTTCGGGGTAAGGAAATTCATTGAAGTTAGTGACTTCTCGTTATTGTACAGACGTTTCCAAAAATGTTCCTTGTTTCACTGTTTATCAAGCGGCTTGATAAAGAAGGAATTACGGGTCAGAGACACGGGACCAATATTTGCACTTCTCAGAAGTTGAAATCGCACTCTCCAACGTTCTGTGTTTTCCTTGATATCTTCAGGGACGTAAACCTCCGCGCGTTTATCTGTGAATAAGATTTATTTCGGAGTCTCGCGAGAACACGTCGAGGGAAGGATGCCATGCGGAAGGCTAAAGACGATCGTGTCAAGATCGCGACGCATCATTTTCGGATCAGCATCGAGGAAGCGGAGGATGTGGAGAATGAAGAAGCCGAGTCTCCGCCGAGAGAATCGGAACGGAGATTCTCAATTACCATTGAAGCTGATTCCGGATTTTTGATCGATGGGCAAGACTCAAGAAGCGTTTCGTTCAATGAGGGAGAATCTTCCTCTCCGAAGAGGATATCCGGCCGTGAGACGGAAGTCAAAGAATCAGAGGCGATTCCTTTAGAGAGGAGTCCTTTAGAAAGAAATCAGAATGAAGAAGAAAAAACGCAGAGCTTTGAACACAGAATTCTCGACCTTGAAAAGAATTCTGAGGCTCAAGAGGGTCGCATCGATTCGCAGAAGGAGACGATCGACGAGAAGCATGCAGATTCTGCGATCGAATGCGAAAAGGACAGAAAAATTGGAAAGACGCGCAACAGTATTGAAAGTGAAAGACGATCTTCGGCTAGCTCGGGCGAAAGTACGAAGCAGAAGGAAAACATCGGTGTTCCGTATTCGAGGATGAGATATTCCGAAGACATGGTCGAAGATGTGAACTCGATTAAGAAGTTGGCTCACGGCTTCGTCCAAGTTCCAAATTCTGCTACCGAGGCAACGAATAAAGGGCGCAAGTCATCTGCGTACCGCGTCTTCGGATCCTCGTTCAATAACGATACAGACGACGGTATCAAAGAACCGTTGCAAGAGACATCACAAAGTACAAGTGAAAAAGCAGAAATAACAGAAAGTGTAATATTCGCTGAGGTGGAATCGAACGGAGCGATTCCCCCGATCTCAGCCGCTCCGTTCGTTTTCAGACGATCGTACAAGTTCGTATCTACACTCGCGAGACAATCCAGCAGTCTGGATAAAATCTCCAGAAACGACGAGAATTCGGGTGTTCAAGAATCGTTCAATTTCGAAGATAACCAGATGTACTCGCAGAGAAGACTGACTTTACCCATGACAAACGTCTTGCTGAATTCGAGGGAGACACTCGAGCTTCCTACCTACGAAGGCATCTTATCAGGTACCAGCGTGCATCCTATCAGGAGGTCCAGCATTACAAGCGCGGCGATCTGCTCGAGTCTGGCTCCAAGCTTGGTCAGCGTTTGCCAAGGTATCCCGGAATGTTTGCTGCCTTCTGGGAACGGAAAAGACGCCAACGAGTCGAACGTTTCTGCTGCGTCCGAGGAACATGCGACCGAAACAGGCGGGCTGAGGTTCAAACTGCCGTTTCTCCGGCTTCACATACCGTCGCACGCGGCCGAGGATTGGGGCGACGATGACGATTTACATCATTCCCACCAGCATCATCACGTGTTCTCGCATTTTCATGTACCCACGATCACGTTCTCCGCGACGGCCACTGACGGCGAATCCGGCCGCAAGTTCAATTTCGGGATTCGCAGACACTCGCAGACGGTTAGTCGCGTGTGGTTTCGTTTTATGAGACGTTGGCTTCAGACTGATATTAATTGGATTAATGTTTGAAGCCTGTTTGTTGGCAAGATGTTTAATCAGCTATGTACTAAAGCATAAAGTTTGCCCCGAATTAAAGAGCGCGGTTTAATCTTCCAAGCCTGAAGGATTAACGAGCCCGTGTTGAACGCTGAGAAGGTATCCTCGATGTATAAAAGTCGACACAGAACTCGACGAAGTACATCGTAAAAATGAACTTGCTTCTTAACTGTTTTTAAGAAATGCTGCGAATGCACATAAAGCGGAAGCTTTAACAATAATCAAACCGAAGATAGGCTCGTCGATGAGTAACGCGTCTGTGAAGGAGGGATCAGAGCGTTCGTACCGCGCTATGTTTCGTCTTTGCACTTCTGTAAAGAGTTTAGTCAGGCTCGAAATTAAGTTACAAAACACCTTGTATAAATGGGATTTCGTCGGGCTCGGTTGAAATCGATCCCGCTAGCTCGTATTCGTAACCGTATTGTGTTTGCCCGTGAGCAAACGGAATTACATCGAGCACATGATGTAAAACACGCGTCGGGCTGCTTTATCAGGGTAGGTGGATCTAGTATACTGCATTTCTGCTATCGCAGTGCGCGCGAGTGAAGAAGACCGTCGTGTGGGTACCTTGTTCCACCAGCATAAGTGATGATCCTAACATGAGAATTTTCTGCTGCATGATTTTAAGTAATGCAAACAATTTATTGTGTATTGGAGAGTTAATTTTTGATGTACCAGTGAACTAACGGTGTGACTATTAATAACTTTAAGCTGGAAATTTCGTTTTTATTTTTTTAAACAGAGATGTATGTGGTCTTGGATTTATAGTTTTGGATTCCGTTCAACGACGTAAATTTCCCTGTACTCTCGTTTCTTCTTTATTTGCGTTTCAATGAACGTTTCCACTGGTTCCGATTCATTCTTTATCGTTGACCCACATTCCATTGTGCTTGTTTGATATACTATATGTACAAGCTCCTTTCTCGTTCGCGTTCGTGTAAAATTACAGTCCGTGTATTATTATTAATTAGAAAATAGAGAAATTTTCCACTATTTTTTCATAACGCTTCCTAATAAGCTTCTAAGTAAAACTCATTACGTTTGATTCTTGAAAAAGAACACGAGGTTCGAAACGCGTTGAACGTTATTCAGATGGAACAGTGTCGAGTTATTTGATCGTGGATGTATCCGCAGGCTAGTGCCTCTACTTACACAGCAATTAATTCGCTTCGCGGCGGCTTTCGATTGGAGTTATACCAATGCAGCGATTCAGTAGATGATCGTCGCTTGCGGATTCAACGAGCTGATAATCCATATTTCCTTTTCGCAGACCTTGCATCGGACTGACTCGATGGTATCGCTCTGTTACCGACCCCTCGCCAGCTATATCATTGACGATAATCTCGCGGGTCTACAAAATTTCCTTGAAAACAAACGGGTGCAGATCGATGACCGAGACGAGGTAATGCCTTCGATTCGTTGTCAGTGTCAAACGTCCTCCGTAAAAAGATATCCAGTCCTTTTAAACCGCTTAACAAGTATCACTGTATTTTTAGAATGGTAGCACAGCCCTCATCCTCGCAGCGACCAAGGGGAAGATACATTTTGTGCGAGAGCTCATCAATCATGGAGCGGACGTTAATGCGGAGGACGGAGTTAGTATCGTAACTTTATTCAACGCAGCGACTTCTTGTGATATTTTCTTTATATTATTGAATATCTTAGGACAATTGGACGGCGTTGCTCTGCGCAGCCAAGGAAGGGTACACCGATGTCTGCCTCGAGTTGCTCGAGCACGGCGCTGATTTGGAATATAGAGACATGGTAGAAATACTGCACCTTTTCGCTTCGTGACTTTTCGCTCTCGTAGTGTTTGCCTCTTTAAATTGAGCTTTTCTAATTTCAATAATTGCAAGGAGATATGGGGAAACGTTTTATTTTTAGGGAGGGTGGACAGCGCTTATGTGGGCAACGTATAAGGGTAGGTCGGCGACGGTGACGATGTTGCTAGCACGAGGAGCTGACGTCAATGCGCACGGAAATTTTCATATACCCTCGCTGTTATGGGCAGCGGGAAGGGGCTACCCTGACATTGTTAAAGATCTCATTGCTCACGGTGCTAAAGTCAATGTTGGCGATAAGGTAATCTATTTTTGTTCCCTTTTCAAGTTCACGCACGTTCTTCCTGGTCGACGCAAAATCGATACCGGCAAATACTTTACATATTTCTCTCTGTGTGCTTCATTAAAAATGATTACCTCGGTTTCCAGTACGGTACCACGGCGTTGGTTTGGGCGTCGCGCAAAGGACACGTAGAAATCGTAGATACTCTTTTAAAAGCTGGTGCTAACGTCGATACTGCTGGCATGGTGAGACACTCTGAATTCAATGATCCATGGTTCAATACATGGTCAGTTATTAATCGTCCGATCGTAGTATTCATGGACAGCTCTTCTCGTGGCTACCCTCGGGAACCACGTGGACGTGGTGCTACTCCTTTTAGAGCACAAACCGAACGTGAACGCTCTAGACAAAGACGGCTGTACGGCTTTGGCGATAGCCTGTCGCGAAGGACATAGCGAAATAGCGAACGCGCTTTTAAATGCCGGTGCTTACGTGAATATTCAAGATCGGGCTGGAGATACGAACTTAATTCACGCTGTGAAGGGCGGTCACAGGGGAGTGGTCGAATCTCTTTTGAAGAAATACGCCGACGTTGATATCGCCGGCAAGGTACAATCGCTAATTGCACGTATTAAGTTTTGTAGATCTGTAATCGTTAAACGAAATGAATAAATATTATAGGATAAGAAAACCGCGACCTACATTGCGGTGGAAAAGGGCAATATATCGATATTGAAGTTGTTACTAAACGCTAACCCCGATCTGGAGATCGCGACGAAGGACGGCGACACACCATTACTGCGGGCAGTTAGGTCGCGTAACGCTGAAAGCGTCCAGGTTCTGCTAGACAAGAAGGCCAAGGTTTCGGCTACCGACAAGAAGGGTGACACGGTGCTTCACATAGCTATGCGGGCGAGATCGAAGGCGATCGTTGAGATATTATTGAGAAATCCGAAAAATAGTCAGCTACTTTACCGTCCAAATAGACAAGGAGAGACACCGTATAATATCGATATCAATCATCCAAAGACCATTCTTGGACAAATATTTGGCGCACGTACGTCCACATCCACTCCTAATTATTATAATTTTACTCTATAGTCCATTATGTGATTAATCTGACTTATAGGGCGACTTAATACTAACGAGGACAATGAAAATATGCTTGGATACGACTTGTACAGTAGCGCGTTAGCGGATATCCTCAGCGAACCATCCCTTTCCACGCCTATAACCGTTGGCCTTTACGCGAAATGGGGTTCAGGAAAATCGTTTTTACTGAATAAATTAAGAGGTAATTGGCATTTACGTTCTTTAATCTGCTGCGACGTTGATTCTATTTAATAATTCATACTTTCAGAGGAGATGAAAAATTTTGCTCGCCAGTGGATAGATCCCGTATTCCAGTTCTCTTTCCTGTTATTCGTAGTGGTAACTCATGTGTCTCTGTTAGTGGGTATCACGATAGGTCTTGCTCTCCAATCGTGGATCGTTGGTCTCGCGTGCGGCATAAGTCTTATTTTTATTACGTACGCGTTTTTGATACTCATTTGGTATGCTAATAAAAGGTAGAGTTTCACTTTATTTACGAATGTATCGTAGGGGAGAGTTTCTTTGATTATGAATAATTTACATCGTAGATACGATTGGTATTGGCCGTACAGTTTCACGGTAGCTTTAACCACGAAGTTGAATTCGCTGAAGCTATTGTTACAAGTGATTTTCTGTCATCCTCCCGGAGGCCGAGTCCACGACGGCGTCACTGTTCAACCGATAAAATTCTACTTCACGGATCAGACCCGGGTCGGTACGACCGCCGCCGGTGAGAACGCGGTGGTGCAGATGGTGGGATCCCTTTACGATTCCATCGAGAATGATTTCGGTTCTCTGTCGACGCGGTTGTACCGAGCGTTTCGACCGAAACCAGACAAGTCGACGACCACCTGGAAATGGAGGCACCTCTGCTGTCTGCCGTACATAGTTATATTCGAATTCTGCTTTTGCAGTCTGCTCGTCGGTATCTCTGTACTTACAGTCTACCTCATCGATATGTCTAGTAACGAGTGAGTAGTTAAAAGTTAACGTTTCATGCGAATCCCTTCGAGGCAAATCATCCGTTACTTATGTATGCTTTTTTTTCATCTAACGTAGACCAACGATAGAAAAAGTCACGGCACACATTATCATGATAACCGTTGCCTTATTACTAGCCGTTAGCGTGATAGCGAATCTGTACACGTGGAGCCGTACGCTGCAAGCGCTTGTTTTCTCTCAGAGGCGGCACCTTCAGCGCAGCATCTCTAAGTTGGAGACTCTGAAGAGCGAAGGTTTCATACAAACGCTGAGAAGCGAAGTCAGTCTGATGACAGAGATGGTATACGATACATTAATTAACGTGATATCTATTTCTTAAAAGAAACAGTTCTATGCAGCTAACGATATTTTCGTATTGACTAAAACAGGTGAAGTGTCTAGATAGTTTTATGGCGCAACAGAGCAGATTAGTGATAATCGTCGATGGTCTGGACAGTTGCGAACAGGACAAAGTGTTGTTAGTTTTAGACGCTATTCAAGCATTGTTTAGTGATAATGGTTACCCGTTTGTTGTTATCTTAGCAATCGATCCGCATATAATTGCCAAGGTACTGTGACTTGTTTATTCAGACAAAATCAATTGTGTTTCTAGTAATGAAATCTTGTATTTAGGCAGTGGAAGTCAATAGTCGAAGATTATTCACGGAGTCTAATATAGGGGGGCACGATTACTTACGAAATATGGTGCACCTTCCGTTTTATCTCCAGAACAGTGGATTACGGAAGGTAAAAGTTGCTCAACAAACTGCCCAACATAGTAGAAAAACTACGTGGACCGAGGCCGAGGAGAGCGTTAATTATACGACCAGCAGCACGATGCATCATTCTGTCTCGAACAGAAGACTCAGCACGGAATCCGGCATAATGAACAGCACCGAGAAGCTGAAACCGCAAAGTAGAAAAGGGAGTCGGAAATTGCGATTGAGCGAGTCGATTGCGAGTAGCATCGGCAGCAATTTGAATCGGCTCGGTGGTGCACAGGACCTCAATAAAATGCTTCTCACCGACGATTACTTTAGCGACGTGAATCCCCGTAGCATGAGAAGGCTGATGAACGTCGTTTACGTTACCGGTAATTTAAATAATTATAGAATATTAACTTTACGTCACGAGGTATTAATCGTTCTTCGCTCTTTCAGGGAGGTTGTTAAAAGCATTCCAAATTGACTTCAACTGGTATCATTTAGCCAGTTGGATCAATATCACCGAACAATGGCCATTTAGAACGTCTTGGTTGATCCTTCATTACGATATGTATGAAGATAGTTTAGACGATTCTATGTCGTTAAAGAGCCTTTACGATAAGTACGTCTTTGCTCTGTTACAAATTCATAACTAGCCAATTACGTGTTTCTTACAAGGCGATTCATATCATCAGGCTACGACCACAAATTCCAGTACTTAAAGAAGTTCAGCCCCTGTTAGAGATGGACAGGGACGAGCGCAAACTAGACATCTTCTTAACGTTTCACCGTTCTAGTCTATTAATAAGCGATATGAAAATATTCTTGCCCTTCACGATAAATCTCGATCCCTACATCAAGAAGAAGATAAAAGAAGAACAGCAGAGCATGGAGGAGGAAGTGGGACTCGGACCCTACAAACAGTACAGTCCTTGGACCGTGCACAATAACGGGCAAGAACCGTGGAACGGAGGCAGAAGTGGTTTGGTTGGCCGGCAGATGAAACTCGTTAAACAGCCGAGTTTGCAAGGGCATCTGCCGCCACCAGTACCGTCGCAAGCGTCCTGGTACGTGCCACAGCCGGCGGTCGATTGGCATGCTCCGCATTGGATATCGATGCCTCCTATGGAACCAGTCGCTAAACCACTTTCGGCAACTACAACTTTACCGGTACGTAAATATCATAGATATTTTATGCTAGATTTTTTTCTGTCTGCGTTTTCCAGTCCGAAATTTTGGAGATACGACTTCCGTCTCTAACGGTGAACGGTGTTTGCGAACTTATCGATAGAATCGAAAGTATAAACCCCAATATGACATCGCAGTACAAGCAAGTTATCAAAGAGAACAACATTAATGGTAGAGTTCTGTTACATTGCGATTTGGAAGAATTGAAGAAGGTAAGTATCCTTTGGCTGTTTTACGTTTAGCGTACGTAAGTAGTTTACGTCGATTTTGGCATTACATCGATTACATTACGTCCCTTGCAGGTTGTTAAAATGTCTTTCGGAGATTGGGAATTGTTCCGTATGGTGATCGTATCGCTCAGGGAATTAGAGTTATCGACGTTTACCACGCACGAGGAGGGTTCACGAAGTGTACGGTTCACGATGGGGTCAGAACAAATTCAACGAAAAGGTACTTGAAAATATTTCGTAAGGGACGTCACGAAGATTAAATGTCTTATTGTTTAATTACAGATCACGCTTTGCAAAGTACTTCGATACGCGTGCCAACGTTAGTCGAGAAGGAGAAAGGGACGTCGAGGACCGAGGGGCCTCCCAGACGAGATCAAACCAAACAGTCTATAATGGAAAAACAAGTAAGCTATTTTCAAATACTCTAATAATCTATTACATATTCTTGTGGTCTAACGATTAATCGATTAATAAAGTATGATACTTATTCCAATTGCGCTCGGTTTTAGTACCAGGTAAGTTCTGTCGGACGTAATTGTTTCTCGTTTATCCTAATATCATAAGAATCGATCAAATTAGACATAAACACTGAAATGCACATTTTTAGGTGACTCTAGAGGAGCAGATGATATGCGGTGCGCTGCAAACGTTGAACGAAGAAGCGTGCGAAGATGTGTTAGATGTACCATCCGCGGCGGTGGTACCATCAGACTCACTATCAGGTGAGCCCTCTTCTACTCTACCACTTTCACTGCCTCTGGTCATAGTTCAAGAACCACCGCAGCCAGACCAAAAGTGTGACACCGTACTCGAGTACAGTACAAACGTTTAATAAATTACGTAATAAATCAAACGAAACTGTGTACATATGTATTTGGATCATGCGTGTCACAGCACCGATATGACCGCAACGCATTCGAAGATGGTACTCTAAAGCTGACCATCCGCTATTTCTCCAGGAATACTCTGGTCAATATAATTGTCGTAACGAGTGTTTCTTGTACCATATATTAGCTGTATACGTGCATAGAATCGTAACCAGTATTATTGATATATACGTATAAGTGTACCCAGGCAGTCAATAAAAATTTAATTTATTTATATACGTACATATATATTAAGTACAACGTATATGGTAGAAATGAATTATTACGGAGATGGGAGACACGTTGAAACTCAAAAGATATGGCTTAAATTTTCAACCAGGTCTTTCCCCTGTACACATACGTGTTTGAAATGTGCCAACGCTTTACGAGAGATTAGGATCGTATATTATAGAATAAATTTGAATAAAGGATATAAAATGAATGTCTGTTAAATAAAGGAAGTGAACGGGTCGATCGCTATTGCGGTAGAGAGCTGAATGTATGCGTTTTATCATAGGTAGTGAGAATATCATTCTTTCCTGTAGTAGTTAGTCATAGCTTGCGAAAAAGAAACTTATGTGTCACCTTTTATATTCGTAAAAAGAAGCTGGAAAGTAATACTTGTCTCCAATAATTTGATGCTAATACTTATAGTCGTCGTATTGTTAACTGCAGACTCACGTACATTTAGGGACAACTGTATTTTTCATGAAACGAACATTTGTAATCCAGACTGTGATAATTACCTGTTACCGTCATTGAATGTTGAAATATATTTTCTTTTTTTGGGATGTTTATGCCGATAGATCTTGTACATTTAAAGAGATAAGCTTCTACATACGATTTTATATACCAAAGTGAAAAGAAGGACGGCTATGAATTATATTCTCTCTTCTTTATTCGTGTCTTATTTTGTACCATATGTACAGTTACCCTGATTGAATTATATTATAATAACTGCGAATGGCAATAAAATTTTATTCGAAACACGAAGTGATATTGTCTTTCTCAGGTCGATCTATGAACTTATCGGGTTGCATTCACTTTCATTTTATAACTGTTAAAAAATCAGACCATTACGTTTTATTATCTGACTAGAAGATTCGTTCAAATTGATTTCTATGATAGTAGCATTTTGTTTTTCACTCTCGGACAGACTAATTGTTAAGTTATATTGAACGAGTAACTTTTGAAGTCGAGATCTCCGTAACACGTCGATTTTTTTTAGGGACCACATCGACGACTCCCCAAGACACAGAATTCGTGATACTCCAATCCAATCCGCTTCTCCACTGGGTACCAGTTACCGACGAGTTGGAGACCTCGGACGACAGCTCCTTCGAATCCACGGTTCACCTTCAACGTACGAACTCGCAACGTAGCATAACGTCTCAGCTTAGCATCAGATCGGCTTGTTCCTTCGGACGAAGAGATATTAAGAAAACTGGCGGTAATTCGACGAATAGTAGACCAGCGTCGCTCTTCGTGTCACCGCCTCCTTCCCCGAAACTAGCGTTCAGATCTAAGTCAACGGATGAGAATTACGTGGCCAACAATATACCACTGAGATCGGCTATCTCTACGCCTACTAAGAAACGACGTTCAACGTCGACTTTGAACGATAACGACGTTGTCCTATCGGTGCCCGTTCCCAACTCTAGTTTGGAGAAGTTGAGTAAACTGAAGGACCGGTTGATGGGAACTCTACCGGCCTCGCCGGCTCCTCTGGAAAGCGAAGACGAGTCCACGCCGTTGGTCTCCGAGTTGTCTACGCCGACACACTCGCAGTCCGACAGCGTGTTCAGACACGATGGTAGCGAAGAGAACAGCAGCTCGATTTCCTCGGGCAAAAGTTTGCCGCGCGATGGAGAACGATCGATGGACGTGATCGATTACTCCGATACGGTCAGCCTGATGGTGCGCGAATCCTCCCAGGTGCGTTTCCTACCGCGGCAAGAAGCCGAAGAGTGGGACAATCCTGAGACACCGGTCTGATAGACATAGATTCGTTGACTAATCTTAATTAGTGAATGAGTCGCCACGGATATTTATGTGAATTCATATTTTTATAAATGTAAGTAATCTAAACGACAATTTGTTTCTCTTCTGAGCGTAGCAGCCACATAGTGACTATGTGGTATCAGTATAATCGATTTATCGCATACTTATTTTAAGCGCTCAATGATTTATGGGTTCGATTACGTTCTTTTACACATTTTATTTCCTAACAAATACATGAATATTCATTATCTGTTAATGAAAGAACTCGAAATGGTTCTTAAACCGAAGTTTGTGATACAGATTCTAGTTTCAGAAGTCAGCAATTGACGGCCTGAATGTTATTATAGTTGTCTTTTCACATTTGATTAATGAATCGACTGACTTACCCCACTACGATTGTCACAGCCAATCGTGTCTACTTTGTATATAATAACTAGAGACGATTAGAAGACCTTTTTAGATAGAGCGCCCGAAGGTGTTCACGCGTGAAAATGGAAACGATACTTAAAAGGAAATTAAAGGAGAGTGAGTGCTTTTTGTGCATTGTAGTATATGTACGAAACTTAGACGTTTGGAGTTAACATTCCTAATAACAATTCGAACGCATTTAAACGACCTCAGCGTGTCAGCAGTTTTTAAAAAACTATTGAGGACGCGTTAAACAATTTAATGTAAGTCAATTCGTGAGATAATCCAGTGATAGAACTTATTTTATCATATCATAGGTGTAAAGAAAATGTTCTCATGTCGAATTGCTATTGATTTTAAACGTTAGTCGTGTCGAGCACACTGTGACCGGTAAATAAACGTTGACAATTTATACAACGATTGATATCGTAAAGTCAATAAGATATTTTATGGTAGCAAATCTTTTTATTACGTAGTGAGAGATAAACGGTTCCCCTTCTCGCCACCCTTTTATTACTGGTTGTACCCGTTGAACGCGGTTGAATTTTTGAAAGACTATTGACGATACGTCGCGAGTGAAAGATTTTATAAGTTAATTTTAATTATTTCAATACGCGAATTTTACATCTTTTTTTAATTGTACTTATTTTATCGTACCTACGCGTGGGAGCTTAGAGAAGAGTGAGCAAACATATCTTCGACGAATCTACAACGCAACTTTTTAATAATACTTTTTTATTACAAAGCAAAAAAATTATACATATGTATATAACAGTGTATGTATATAATATAATACTTTAGGACGGAATACAATTAGGGTATTTGTTGATAATAGCGGTGGAAAATACAGCTAGTGTATATATATTAGATTTTCAATCAATAACTATATGTACTTTACTTAATTGCTATTAAAAATATATAGTATACTTAAATACAGAAAACATCGAACGGAACGCCTTACTCTACTGGCATAAATGCTCACTTGTCAAATAAGATAAGTACTTTAACAGCCCTACTCCTTCATTCAATTCGAAACGATTCTATGCTCCGCGTTTCACATAGAATTCTCTTAAGAGTAAATTTGGTCAGACTGCAAACTATCAATTCGCCTGATCACGATTTAAACAACTGTATCACCGTTTCTCCGAACTTCACAAAAGAGGGTCGATCGAACGATCGACTAATTTCAACAGTAATACTTTCTCTAGCAAATAAAAGTTGATAGGAATTAAAGATATCTTACTCTTTCACCATTATAAAAGGCACTATGGCAAGTAGAAAACATTATAAATCTATTAAATACCTCTAATAAAATTACCATCTACACGATCAAAAATTTAATCCTTCGATTATGCATAGATACGTTATCAGGCCAACAAACGCAAAAATAATAAAGTCATTTAACATTTTCGTCTTTAATACTACGAAGTACTACCAAAGGTCAATGCACTTATTAGTAAGAAAAAGACGATTTATAGGAAGTCGCGGCAAATGCACCTTGACAAATGTATCAAATCTCTACGGGGTGTGTGAACTGTGGTAGTTCTAACGCTAAAAGGAGCACCATACATTGTTCTAATGTACGCGTCGGTTCTTAGAAGTTACGTAATAAAATGCAAGAATGTTTAATCCTTCGTAAAAAAATTGACTATCTCATGTAACACAATAAATATAAAATACGCTTAAATAATCTTCATGGCAGAATTGAATCGGTAAAGTACAATGATTATTGTTAAAAAGCAGACATGAAAATATAGAATAACCCGAGTACTTGAAAAGAGTATTGCTTCCGTCTTTAATTTGCAATTATATATGTAAATATATATGATTATAAATCTCTTTCCTTCGATTAAAAAAATTCTCACAATTCACTTAAGTATACGAATAGATATTCGTAAACGTTAAAAAATGTAAATGCTGATTGGTCCCGCTGACACGATACTTGAAAATCGTTCGTTTATTTTTCTACTTAGGCAACATTGTACTCTTATAGGCACTTTAATTAAGTTTACATGTATTTTAAGGAAGACCGGACTTAGTAAATGCACATTTCGTTCTCCGTTTCAAAAGTACTATTCGCTTATTCGTTGATTAAATTATTAGATTACCTTCAGAGCTGCGTTGTAATTACCGTCTTCCTTGTAATCACCGTATGCTTAATTGGAATCGGATCCGCAGTCGTATTTTGCGATGGATCAGCTACCAGCCACGGACTGATGTCCGAGACTGCTGAGTTATCGTCCTGGAACATAACGAAACCAAGTTGTACGTAATGAATATTCCTGGTTCATATACATTTCTTAAATAATATTAACGCGATTTAATCGATGATTATTTTAATTGCAATTTAGAACAAAACAATCATTTTTTTAGAATCATTCTAGTATTAACAAGCGCATATTTCTGTACAATTTGCACAAGCCGGAGCACGTTTAGACGAATACAAAACAAGAGAGAGTACGTTACAATAAGCGAGTGGCGAGCATTTTAAAGAGAAGCCACACCTTGTGAGTCAGGGTCGTGGTGGTGGTTTGAATCTCCTCTGTTTTCACGACTCTTGCTCCGTTCTTCTCACTCTCCCGTATTTCTGGCTCGACCTTCTTCTCGACCGTTGGCTGCATATCTTTAAATGGGTTGAGCAAACCCAGAAACGGATTCGAGTCTATGAACGGGTTCGTGTTCGTCTTCTTTTCTTCATCCGTCTTTTTGTCCTCCTCCGCGGTATTCTCGGAAACGCTTGTAACTTCGTTGCTGTTATCGCTAGTGAAAGGATTGAACGGATTCTGTGATTGATTCGTGACTTTAGGATTTAGCTGCGTGGTTTTCTGCTCGATTTGGCCCCAACTGTCTAGAGAGAAATGCGTTACGGTCACGTTATCACTGTCCACGGGCGGGGTCATCGTTGTCGCTCCGCTCACGCACAGGGTCAGCTTATCTCCGCCCTAGATTAAAAAGAAAATAACGAAAAAAGCAAACAAATGACAGCTAAAGCCTATAAGCGCGAGACGATGGAGCAAACATACGTAGATGTTTATAAGCGAATCAACGCAGTGTATCTAAGAAGACAGGAACAAAACAGAGAGTGGAAAAATGTGTATCATGAAATAAAGGAAATTCAAGCACTTGAAAATTCTAATTCAGGTATCAAATGGTATTCTCTGTAATACGTTCATGAAAGAAAATGGTGCCGGGTCGTTTCGTTAATCAATAGCTTTCTAAGAGGTAGAAAAATAATTCAGTTCTCTTACCACCGAGACAATCGTTGCCGCATCCGAGTGTTGATTGTTCTTAGTAACGACCGTAGGTGCGTCTACAGGCGTGATCGAAATCAGATTCGAATTTTTCCCTTGTTCCAGAGACTTCGCCTTTAATATGTTACACTTCAGTGACTCCGGTGGGATGGGTGTGCGAGGAGGTAGCGACGAGGTACCACCGACTTGATTATTCGGCACTAACGGTGTCTGATTGGCAATGTTCTCAATGATCAAACTCGTCTTCACCGGTTCCGATTCTTTCTCGGTGTTAGCTACCGCCGTTTGATTTCTAGGCTCCAAGGGTTGCTGGTCTTTAGCCAATGATTTCAATAGGGAATCCACCAGGGGCGAGGAAGTAGCATGTACACTACATTCCGACGATTTTGTACTGCTTGACTGACTCGGCTGACGTTGCAATGGTTCTTCCTCGGCTGAAATTATGGAATCACGTTTTCAGTATAGCACACTCGAAATCATAGAACGAGTGATCGTTCGTTTAAACTTACGGGCAGTCGCTGCCACCGGCGGTTGTGGTTGCTCCACCTGGCGTTGACGTTCTCTCAGAACATGACTCTGACGACGGGCGTACCTCTGACTCGGACGTCTTTCGAATTGCACTGTTCTACGTGCTCGGTTCAACTGAGTAGTTTGAAACTCGGTTTTACCGCTGTAGCGGAAACGCGAGCCCATACGGAAGAAATTCTGACGCCCGCTGGCACCTTTGACAGGCGCCCGCAATCGGAAGAAGGCGTGATGCTCCACGGCGCATTTCCACAGGTGTTTGCAAGCTTTCTCGTTCACGAGCCTGAACACGAACGTGTGCTCCTGTTCTCCCCTTCCTTCATCGTCCTCTTCCACCACGACCAACGTCAGTTTCTTCTTCTTGAAGTCCAATCGACCGATCTTAGGCCAGAAGAACAGACCGATCTTCTGCGTGCCTTCAAAGACTAGGATCCCAGTCGGTGTCAGTCCCAACGAGTATTCGCACGCGTCTTTACCGAGAACCGTGTGCATGTCTACGCCGTACATGTCTAGCCACTTCGCTTTACTGAGATACGCTGATTCGGCTTGTGCAGGACTGAGCCCGGAACATTTAGCGTACTCCTCTAGTATCTCTAGTTCCATTTGCTCCGTTTGGCCCGGTACAAATCGGAATTCGGACACCGTCGCTGCGCTGTGTATGGCAGGATCGTAATCTCCAAGTTCGGCTAAAAGTACAAACGAATTCGTCGAGGAACGTATAATTGTTGAACTTATTCTCCTTCACCGTTTCTTTGTTTTCCAGATACTTACACTGGAGGGCCAAAGCAGCCAGTTGAACAGAGACCTGGTGAGGGCAATGAAGTTTTCCATCGAGGACGTCTTGCTTCAATTGGAGGAAGAACTGATATCTTGTTAATTCCTCGCGTAAAGTGTTAGGCTCTGACGAATAAAACTTTACCTTGAGTCTTAAGGTATATGGTGGCCCAACTACATGAAATATCGTGATTTATTAATGATATATATAAAATGTGTGAGTTGGTTGCTTGAAAAAATGCAATGAGTCAAAATACAAAAGTAAAACGTACTCTTCACTTGTTTCTTTATGGGTTTAGTAGGATCCAACCAGTGCTGGACATTATTACTATCTGTATATTGCAGTCCAAAATAATCTTTCTCTATTAAATCTAAACTATAAAATACTTGTTCGTACAAGTCACTAGCCAATGCTTTTTTCTGTAACATAGAAGCATCCAAAAATGAAAAACAATTCCTACATCGTTCCACTAACGGCAGTGATGCTATATAAAAATTGGCCAAGGTAGCTAAATATTCTTTAGAGGAACGACGTTCGGCAATTGTTTGTCGCACAGTGGTCTTACTTACTGACAATTCTATAGGCAAATCGGTGCCGTCAAGCAGAACGACTCTACATTGAACAACATTCTTATTGCTCAGTAGTCGTTGATTTTTTATTTGGGATGACGTAGTTTGTCCGCTGACGCTACGGGCTCTACGTCGTGACAGAAACCTTAACATTTTATTTGACATACGTCGCAGACGATTCCCTTAATGTCGCGGAGGCAATAAATATATTGACCCAAAACGCTACATTCCTCGTTGAACGCGGATACTCTTCTGACCGTGTCGTGCGAAACGCCCACTCGTCACGCGATTATTAATATTCGTTGGAACACCGATGAGAATAACTGTTCACATGAGATCAGCGTACATTCTAAGGTGGCTTACAAAAGTGAGATTTTAAGTTAGATTTTAAGTTTGTTGACTAGCCATAACAAATCGCAAGGACCAAACCCTACCCCAAAGAAGGCGTACACCTCCACTACCGAGGAAATACTACTAAAAAAGAGTGGCAGTGTCTGTGTAATCGTTGGGACAGCGAACGGGGCCCAATTTAGAACACGGTCGGTAATCGCTCTTTTCCGACGAGTTCGGCTCGATAGGCAATAGATAAACGTAGGACTCCAGCATTATCGATCTTATATCGGCTTTGATGTCACTGCTGAGAAGTATAATGATTACCGGAAGACCGGTAAGCTACTTGCGATTCGAATTAGTTAAATTTCGTCGCTCAGTCTATTCTTTGTACCTTTAGCTTTAAGTTCAGTCGCGATCGACTAAAATCGCTTCGCTAGAAACCGAGGTACATGTTGCATTCTTTGGATATTCAGTTTTAATTTCAGTCACGATTAATTAAAATTGCTTCGTCCAATCTACTCCTTCAGCGTTAAAAGGCGATCACTAGGCTCTTTTGTAAAGGTGTATAAACGGTTGCAAGCATTTTATGTGCACGTTACTTATAATTAATCTTAAGTGAAATTGTACAGATATCAGATTTTTGTATCCTGTGACTTGTTTAAAAATGAAATAAAGATCTTGTTAAACATGTATCTTACCATCTATTTATTCACCTGTCTACTACTCCTAAAATGACCATAGCCCATTCCTTAACGAGGACAATGAATCGAAATAATAGTCCTGGTCACTGTTAAATTAGTTGTATAAAGACGTAAAATTGGGTTTTGCGAAATTCTTGGAAATGACGTCATCATCAGGAGTTAGTGCCACCTCCTATGCTGTCATATTCTCCTGATACAAAGTCTAATTTTTCGAGAAAAATTTTTCCCTCTTGAATTCTCAGAGTCAAAATATTTATCGAAAATGGAACTTTGTATCAGGAGAACATGAGAGAATAGAAGGTGGTGACGTCACGATTCCAAGAATTTCTACTCTATCTTACTTCTATTCTATCTTATTTCTACTTATGCTAAGTGAAGATGACATGGAGAAGGGATTGGATGAGGATAGTTAAAGGAAAGTAACGAGACGTTTGAATTCAATTTCAACTATTTCTTTATTAGTTCAATTTTAAGACCTATACAATAATTTCCAAAGAAGATTGCTTAGGTACTTATAGATTTCTCACTGTTAATTTTATCACTGACACTAATGTAAAAGTTGCATAGGGCTGTCTTCATTATTTGTAGAAGTGAGAGATATCTGATATCTGGAACAGACGGAAAAGAATGTTAAAATCATGTAAGACAATAATGAGGGAAGGGAAAATATTCTTATAACTGTGAAAGTAGAATAGATATCGTTGTGAAGATCGAGAGACTCTTCAATGGAGTTTTCTTGAATGTCTCTCAAGTTTCGTACTAGTGATGGGCACCATCGACTAAAAACTATCGATTTAGTAGCTAACGATTGCTTTGGATTATATTTATTCAAGGATCGCGAAATAAAATTTCTGAGATGCATTTCTATTAATTTATTAA